AAAAAAATAAAAATATCCATGATTGGAACTTGGGAGGAGGGGGTCATTTCCTTTCCTTAAAGAAAAAAAGAAAAAAGAAAAAAAAAATGATGGAGATTTTTATTTTATTGATTTGAAAACCCGTGTCTCATGCCATGTTATATTGGGTGCGTCAGTCCTCAGTCCTCAGATGTTAGGGAAATAAGCCACTCAAAAAGTTACAAATCTTGCATTCATTTTGGTCAACCCTTAAGCCATCTCTTACCAGTCGTTGAGCAACATTTTAAACATTATTCATGGCATAAAACACTAATTAATCCCTCAATTTTATACAAAAAAGAAAAAAAAAAACAAAAACACTAATCCCTCAATGCGACTTTACCACATATTGGTAAGGCATTCGGATTAAAAACTTGAAATGAATCTAGCCTGCACAGGACAAGGCAAACGCCTTAAATCTTGCAATAAACAAATTTACAATCCTTTTAGATTGTTTTTGAAGTACTTTTTCATAAAACGACACAGTTTTTTCCTCTTCTTCTTTTTTTTTCGTAAGTTTTTATTAGGATTTTTTTTCATAAAACTGTAAATGATCCCAATAATTTCAAAACTTTTCATAGTGTATCAAATAATTTTTTTTATCAGCATAGTGTATCAAATAATTAACTTATTAATTGAATCTTTGTTATATTACTAGTTGCTAATGTTATTGTCACATCCTATAGAGTTATAATGTTATACTAAATATATTTTTAATGAAGGTAAAAGGTTTTAACTTTAAATTACACAATGTACAAAATAAAATGAATTAAAAAATAAGGGGCGTTTCTTCCGTCACCTCTTATATTGCAATTTCAAGTTTTTTTCAAAAAAAATTGTATACTTTTTAGCGCTTTTATATATAAATAAATAAATGAAAAGTTAGGTTAAAATAATATTTTTAAGAACTCTTAATTAAAGTGGTATAAAATTAAAAATACGATATTGTAGGTGATATTAATATCATCATTACTTATGCGGTCTATTAGTAAATTTGTTTCGTGCTTTTAGAGGCCCTTTTGGTTCAAAAAAATAGAAAAAAAAAAGTGAGGGCTGATAAGGTTATTTTAATTGATTAAATTATTTTATTAACTCAAGAACTTAATTTAATTTGTTTAAATAACTTCCCCATCCTTCCATTCGAACAAAATAGGAATTGAATAGTGTAATCTACAGTAGTTACATGTTTAGAGCTTAATCTAAGACCAGATTTTATGATGAATTACTATTAATTATTAATTATAGCGTGATGTCATATAAACTCATATAATCAATAAATAAAATAATTTCATCTTAAAATTTCTTTCTAAAATTTAGTCCAAAGAGTCAATACTAATAAAAAAACAAACACAATATCAAGACATCTATTACGACCAATCGAATATTCA